CAAGACTAGATCGCTCTTGATGCTTTTGGAGCCCAAAAAGATGTGCTGCCGTGAAATTTCAAGTTCTGGGCTCTGTAAGTGGCGAGCCTGCCGTACACCGTCGAGTTGCACAACACATGGGACGTATCCGACCACGTGCTCTACGAGAGATGGCGGACAGCACATAGCACATTGCGGCGTCATTACAGCCCCAGTCACATTGTTGACCGCTAGCGCACTCGCTGCTGTGATTGACTGTGCTGTGCATCCTCACTGGCTCCCCCACATTACTGATTCAGATTGTGAAACAGCACGTGAATTATTTTCTTTTCGCTGCAAGAATCTCTCCGGCTGATGGGCTGTCCGGGATTTACGCAACTGAACGCGGGCTGATTTTCTTGTCCCTCTAATCAGGTACTTGAGAAACAAATCCGTTTTGGGACGGATCTGGTCATGATTCTGCCGCTGCAGAGTTTGCTATTGGATCTGCAATGTGATGTCGAGATGGCCATAGGGGGCAAGTTCCGCTCTGATTGTTCTAGCTCAGCTTCTGGGACGAGACCGGATTCATAACGACAGTTGTGGTTCTTTGTCGTTCGTGTCAGTATATTTCGGGGACACAGGGTCCAACCGTGACGTCAACCAGCATCTCTTCTTGATCATGTCATCGAGTTCCGGCGTCAGGGAGGGCCCGGCAATGGAACTATCCTCATGGCTCGTACGACTGGGACATAAGATTAACAGTGGCGCTATTTACTAAACGATTTGAAATTTCATTTGAACTGTCCATACATGGTCCTCTGTGTAGATAATTCGGTTGACTTCCTGCTTAAAAGATGGAGAAAAACGTCGCTGGGATTCTTGATACCAGACTATACGCCTTTTTGTTTGAGGAGCGCTAAAAGAGCCGTTCGATCAATGCTGACTTTCCGCAAGATTGAAAATTGTTTCGAAATCTTCTGAGCGGCTCCAGGAATAAAGCTAGGCAAATGATGAAGTATTCATATGCAAGTTCTCAGTCGGATTCCCCACATTTTAGAAAATGCACCTGAAAGTCCGAAGGTGATGTGAATTTCTCGGAGGTAACCCGGTTGTTCTTTTGTAGATGCTTTACCGGGGGAGCCATCAGGCAGAATCAAGTAACCAAGGGGGACCAGCGGCCGGGTTATGTGTCTCCGGATGAGCTGCATCAAACCACTTCCTCATATGGTTCATGAGAGTTTGATCATCGTCCATGTTTAGTAAAGGCTTCGACAAGATGTAAGCGACATCTCTGCTTCATGCGGTCTTGATGGGAGCTCCGGTATTGCGACAGAGGCCGTAAAATCAACGTTTCTGAATTTTCTAGGCGTGCAGGACATAATGCGATTCACTTGTTAACTCATTTTCTTTTGCGGTTTGAAAACAATCGAAAAGAAACGGGAAGCACGTGACTGACGGAGGTATCTTCATGTCCATGTACTTGGAGTACCAACCATGTTTCACGCCTTCTAATTACGTTTTTATGCTCCCTTAACGAGACGCTATCGCGCGCTGCTCGCTGGTGCTATGCGGCGACTTCCGGATCATTTCGAACCGGTTTTTTGACTCAGGGTATCGAGCTAATTGGTTCAACTTCACGCAGAACTCGAGCTCGAAATAGAAATCAAAATCAGACTCTAGGTGCACATCTTTGGGATGCCCAGAACATGTATTTCAATCTTGAATGTAACCTGGCGAACAAATGCTGCTTACGAACTGAGAGAGCTCTAGTATGTCAAGCTATTTATCGAAATTGTCGCGCGCATTGACCAAGCACAGCCATGGGGCAACATCTGCTAGAAATAAACGAGCTCATTCGCTTGCAGAATCGTACCCGGATATATCTCACGTGGCCCAACTGTCTGGCGGGCTCGGACAGCTGCCGCAGAGTGAGCGAGATACATTCCAACTTGGGCATGATCCTTCAAGAATGTCCTCGCTAAATACTCGTCGATCGTGCGACAAGGCTGCGTGCTCAAGCGGTCGGCAGCACATGGCGACAGGCCCGTTAGATCGCATACTTGTCTAGGGGCATGGACGGGGTCAACGGCTAGAGTGCGGAGATGCTCGAAACGTGGAAGCCACCGGCTGCAAAGGGGATGAGAACCAGGGTAGAGCCACGCTAGCTGGTGACGTACCACAAGGTCCCAGTCTTCCTCTTCCACGGACAGATGGATTAACCTTCGCTTGTCAGAACAAATTGCTATGCGGCGGAGACAAACAATACAGACAATCATTTACAATGCGAGCTCTACAAATTTCTTGCCGTCCTCGGATGAGTTTCCGAGAGCTCAGGTGGATGTAGAAAATGATCTCATTATATCGCCGAAGATAAGAGACATTCATCGATCACTGTAGGAGACCGATGCGGTAGCCGGTGGTCTGTAACACAGTACTGGCGGCCAGTGAAGATCACGTGCGGAATGCCATCTCCCAGGTTCGCATATGTCATGATTCTCCGATAGGTTGGACGATTTCAAGCATCTGCGCCGGGCCGTGCAGTCACACAACTGCTTACTGGATTCAGACAGAAGTGAAGCTGCGGCTTCCTCCCAAACTTAATCGGATCATTATCGGTACAAACGCGATCACGTGCCACAGGCTAGGGTACCGGTGACAGCCACACTTTAAATTAGGCTGACAAACTCCATCAATCTCGAGAACTGGAGAGTTATGACTCATAGAGTGCTTAGTTATACCATGGCTTATTTATCCGGTAACGAAGCCGTGCCCCCAAAATCCTCAGTGAATGAAAGGCAAGCTATTGCGCGTGATATTTCTGGATCATTTTTGTTCTATATCAACATATAAAGTAGTGACGCACTTCAGTGTACATATGATAGGATACTGACATCTCTTTACCGGTGTTCTCGGTCCATTTGACCTGATCTAATTGGACGCACAACATATCTTGGCGCGCTATCTGCCGTGTGCGGCAAGTTCTGGGGGAAACGAGAAGCAAGATGGGCCCTGCCGAAATACCTCCTGAAATCTTACTCCAATTGGCACCCGAAATCTCCCGATTGGGAGTCCAATGCGGCGCCAGATCCGTGGCTTTTGTCCTGGGCTTGATTCTCGAAAGCCGCATGAACTTGGCCTTCCAGTTGGTAACCTAATCTGCAGATCTGTCGTGCAGCCCCGGCGCATATAAGTCTCGGGAGATACTCTACGCAGGCTCTAATAGACCCTCTGTGCCCTCGGCCTTCCTTTTCGCCGGATTACCGACCAGATTTTCTTCCTGTAGTTCTCCGCATCAGCCAATCAGCCTCGTTCTTCTGACAGGCTATGCCGCAAGCGCAGTACTATGGGAATGAAACTGGGCGTGGTGTCTCGTGGATTGGAAACGCTCGACACACAGTGCCTCCCCCCGCACCCTGAGTCCTTACATTCGGGCGTCTCCGTTCTCGGCGCGCGGTAATTACCTAATGCAGGAAGGAAACAGGCGTGCAATGTGTGCATGCAGGTCGTCTAGGCATGGGTCGACATGAGGCTTGTCCTTCTTTTTCTCGAACTATCATGTACATCCCGGCTGAATTTCACCCATCCATCAACGGCCGAGGTTCGCACATTCCAGACATCCCTGCTCGAGCACACACTCAGGAACTGCGTCGCCCAGTCGTGCATTGCGAGCGAGAAATCGGAGATCCCATCACTTCCCTGGCTTGCGTCGTGTCGGCCGCACTCAACTCCGTGATCCACTGGATCGCAGACGTGCCTGCCCGCGTCCTTTCTTGGATCGAACAGGTCGCATGGCCCGCCGTGACTGCGTCGTTCTGGAAAGCGGAGAATTGGCTTGCAGAGGTAGCAAAGCCCGCATGTATTCTGGGGCTCTCTGCAGCGGCCACAGCCTCGAACGAATACAGTGCGTGCTCCAAATGCAGTCCTAGGGCTGAGGCGTAAATCATTAAACTAAACACTCGCAGTCCTTCGCCATCCCATCGGGTTGACCACGGCTGCTGCTGGACTATTTCTCGGCCCCCAAATACTATTACTTCCGGTACTCCTTTTCCAGGGTTTCTTCTTGCTGCTACTGGCTATTATTGGATTCGGAAGCAGAGGAGTCACCGGGGGTGAGATTCCGCATTTACGCTGTAAGATCCGCACGGGCGCTCAGAGAAAACAGGTTCGCCGGCGGCCCTCTATCAGTCGCTTTGCTACGGCGGCAACACGCCCGCCTCATCGATCTTTACGATTTTCCAGTCCCTGGGCATGAAATACCACGCCATCACGCTCAGCAACTGGCTCTTTGCGGCGGTGAGGCTGATTTCGGGTGTCTGCTTAGTCTACATCATCATCGTTCTTGTCCATGGGAATTAAAATGCGAGATTATCGTCCAGAATGTTTTGTCATGGGCCATGAGCGGCCGACTGACGCGGAAGTCAGTGCGTCTGGAACATGACCGGGGAGGAGACACGACCGGGGAGGAGACGCACTCGCCTATCAATCCACCCCACCTATCCGCGCACCCATGGATCGAGAGCAGACGTTGTCTGAGCTTCTGACATATTCTCGCTCAGTGCCGAGCGGGAGATGGACAGTCGGTGACAGAAACGATGGGGTTCCAGAACTCGACATTCGTTGGGATGGTGAATGTTCCACCGTAGTCCGATCAAGGCGCTTGAGACCCGGAGACAGGAGTGGCCACAGCTGCGGTGCCTTTCAGTCATGGCCCTCTTTGTCATTCCCTTCGCCGTGATCGCACGATTTAACACGTGAGCTGCCCAGTGAGTGGATGCAAGCACTGCAGGAAAAGGCAGCCCCGGGAAGGGACAGCCGGATCGGACGGGCAGCATCCCAATCCCCGAGAGAACTGGAACCGATCTCGTGTCGGGAATTGCATCCCCACCGTGACGTTCCTTCTGTCAAAGAACTTCTGAGAGAGTGAGAGAGATTTGTCGGAAATTTCAATTTGCCTCGAATGCCCCGCCATCTCCTTACAAAGAGTTTTTGACCTAATGAAACCCGTCAGCTGCTTTCATCCGGGTTACGGTTCTGGAAAAACCTGATTCGCCCGGACGGTAATTTCAGAATCAGAACGGTCAAGCCATGTCAAAAGAGGCAGTATACTCTCATGGCCATGACTTGATCTCAGTTGATGCATAAGATTCGTTTTTCCGACAAACGCCTGTGAATTTCGGGGACAAGCGGGGGCGGTGTGGCTTCCGCCGCAGGAATGGAAATGGGCTGAGACCCGAGTCTGGGAGAGAGTTGGCTGCTGGATGATTTATTTGGTAGGTCATCTCTGCACAAGGCTGGATCGAATCTGACCCCCGAGGCGTTGCCAAGTCGAGCCGCAACATCTGACGCGTGGGAAACGCACTGGGCAAGGAATCGGTAAAGTCCATGCGACACCATCTCTCTCAGCACACTGACAGTTACCTTAGATCCTGGACACGTATCGACCCGGCAGAATCTTCTGACGAGATTGAACCACGCGCTGGAGCCTCCAGCGGCATCCTCCCGTGGTTCTGATGCACCGTCGATGTCCCTACACTAGACCGGAGAAAACACGTCGTCGAAGCGTCTTCAATCCCGTCCCTCCACGCCGTTTTGAAATGCCAGGAAGTCCCCTGCAAGAGATACACGATACAGGAAATCGGTTCGTGTATCGAAGAGCTCAAGCCGCAAGCTGTTTTTGTGCGCACAAAAAGTCGGTGCCCCGCACGCGTTCTTGTGAAATGACGCCGATCCAGAAGTCAAACGAGGTCTGCAGAAGTACCAGAGCTCGCCCGCAGGTGTATGGGGATCAGCGACCGAAACATCTACCAGACGGGAAAGTTCCTCAGCACCTGATCGCCACTTGGCCCGCTGTCCGAGATGAACACGTAAAAATGTCGGGAATGAAGACAGCCGAGACAGTCCGTATCCCATGCGGCACCGAGGTGAGAACCGCCCAATCCGCCTGCGACAGCGACTAGGAGATATCATCGGTATAACGCGTCGAAGCTACCCTCGAAGCTGGCGTGTGGAGCTTCTTTATCAGTATCCGCATCCACATTCCTGGCTCGAGCTAGACCGCGAAGATACAAGTCAATCCAGACCGGTCCAAAATGTACACGCGAAGAGACCTACCAGGCCGCGCAGAGATCTGCGACAATAAAGTTGTGGTTCAAAACGATAAGAAAGATCCGAGGAGGATCTTTTCCAGCTCTTTGCGTGCTTTTTCTGCTTTTTCTATTTTTTATATGCAGACACGCTGGCGAAGAGAACGGGGGAGGGGCCCAGCGCGGATACTGTGAACGAGAAGCGCCCAAGGTCTGTAGAATCCCATAGACTTGCGCGCCCACACTGAATTCTGTTCAGAGACTGGAGCTATAAAACTGCATAGAAAACCCATTGGAGGAGAGATGGACAACAGCGCAGTGAAAATGCCCCGTTGCTCGTCGATCATTGGAGCAGAGAGCATATAGGGTAATACGTGGCTGTGCCACGAAGCCGCCTCGGTCGCCGCAGCAAATCAACGACTTGTGTGGCTTCCACCATGATAGTCGTCGACGACGAGGGCGACGTCTTTGCGAACTCGCCAAATGACGCTAAAACGAGCTCATCCACGACGGACCCGAGCCCCGTGCGGACACCATCTCCCCCGCCCGCTTACTCGGGCCCGTCTACCTCAGCCGCCGCCACGAGCACCCTGGCCCCGGCGCAGGCCCCTACGAGCGGTCCCTTACTCGACACGCCCGCTCCGGAATGGCCCAGCGCTTTCCTTCCGCCCTCGCCGTCGGCGTTCCCGCATCCCGAGTCGCCGCAGGGCATAGCGTTCGCCGCCGGCCCCACACCGCTCCTTTCCTCGTTCCCGGACGGGAACTACACGTACTACGACCCTCGGTCGGCATACTCGATTGCTATGGCCGATCGGCGCGCGTGGCTTCGATTCTGGTCTGCGTTTATGTGGGCGGTGGCGTTGTTGTTTTCGTTGTGGGTGGTGGGGTTGCTGCGGGTGGATTTCAGTGGATGATAGAGATTTTGGAATTCCGGTCACTGATACTGGTGGTCATTTTGGAACTGGCTGATTGTCATTTGTCTTGTTGGTGGGTCCCATTTCTTTCACCAGCCATGGTCGCTCATGTTTTGCGCAGTGTTGTTACCCGGTGCTTACTTATACCCGCTCATCGTCGTTTTCATGCCTATCTATCACCACTGCGTTCATTTTGATAGGTATGCAGGGTGGGATTGACAGGGTTTACTGTTGACCATACCCCACGCATTGTCTACGCACATACTGCTGCTATCTATGGAAAGGTGATCAAGGTTCAGCAGGAAGGGCCTTCTTCAGCCATACTGCCAGATCGCGCAGTTCTTCCTGGCTAGTCGAATGTGGCACGTCCGGATATGTGTTGAATGAGAGTCCCTTGAACTGATCTGAAGTTGCGTCGGAGACTCCGATGCTCTCTTTAAGTATGTCTCTCGATCGCTCGGCGAGCGTGAGCTTGACGAGGGGGTCAGCCTGACCATGACCCCAGAAGATGGGCAACGAGGTCGCGTGCTCGGACACCATCTGAGATGCCTCGTAAGACTGTGATACAGAGCAGAGCAGAATTGGCGTACAGATTTGAACTTCTTGTTCAAGGGTAGCCAGCCGCTGAGGACCGCGAGACCGGCAAGTTTGCGCTCGATGGTGAGACCGGTGAGCAGGGTCATGGCACCGCCCTGCGAGAAGCCACCCAGCACGATGCGGTTGGCGGGAATCCCAGCGTCTACTTCCTCGGTAATCAGTTTGCTCAGCGAGTGAACGGTCTTGAGCATCCCCGATTCGTCCTCCTCCGTGTTGAAGTCGAACGAATAGATGTCGAACCTACGGCTCGATCAGCCTGCTGATACTAAGAGCCATACAGGAACTGACCATGAAGGCATCGACATCCCCATATTAGCGGTAACCGCCATTGAAGGACTACAGCTCTGTTCAATATCGCAGAAAGCATCACGTTTGGTAAAGCAGCTGGGACGCGCCTGTGCGGTAGGATCCACTTCACCTGCGGGAGTTGGCTCTTGAGCATATCCGCAACAGGCTTCCATCCATTTCCAGAGTCCCCCAGTCCCTAGATCGATCGCGGGGTTGAATGCACTGCCGTCAACCAACCGAGAAGATCGAATCGTACATGCACGAAGATGACGGTCGCGGTATGTTTCTGAAGCGCTGGGACGACGATTGACTTCAGGGGAGCAATAGCAGCCATGCTCGATACGATGGGTATGGATTCGAGTCTGGAGAATGCGTGATAACACCACACGAGAGCAGTGAGTGTCAAGATGAGTGTAACGACCGTTCGTCTGAAGGTCATGCAATGGTGGCTATGCCCTTGATCGGGCCCGTGAGAAGATAAGATTACGATGAGAAAGACGAAAATAACACTGCCGAAACCAGTGCCTCGCTCGCTGATTTGTACTCAACTGCTCTGCGTCGCCAAATATGATGCATGACACACGTAAGGTAGCCCCGGACAATCTTCGATGGACATCACGTGCCGTCCCGGTCACATCTTCCGCTTTTGTCTGATCAACAACATCAGGCTGAATTACAAGATTGAAGGCACCTGTGATTACATCCTTGTACCAGAATATGTAATCACATTTCAAGAATATGTTACAAAATTGGAGCACTTTTCAGATTAGTAAAATTAGTAGTCCCAAAAATAGTGATCACAGCGCAGTTAGTGAATGAATCTCATTCACAATCATACATCAATCATGATTGTTCACTTTCTTGGGGCTCATTTCACTGCGGGGGGGGGGGGGAAATACGTGACAATCTAGAAGTCTGATTTTCACTGTTCTGTTTTCAGACAAAATATATATATTGAAAATAGACATCAATTTACAGCTCAGTTTTACCATGAATAGACATCTCCCAAAAACAGAACTGTAAATAGATCATCTTTTTTTAAATAATTCTCACTGGGAATAGATATCAATTTTCACTGAAAATAGAAACAAAAAAAGATGATCTTTTTTCACTGAAAACAGATTAAAACTACAAGAAGAATCTGTTGATTCTGGCCCCAATTTGCATTCCTGGCCTTACAAAATGCTACTGAATGCTACCCACAACATGTTGGTTTCATGCTGCAGACTTGTGATGTGAGTTGGGGCCAGAATCTGCAAGGGCAACCTTGAGGCCCAATCTTAGAGTCCTGACAAGGGAGAGTCCAAAGCATCGGATAAGGGGATCAACTAATACAGGAGACTGGCAAATCTGACAAGGGAGAGTCCAAAGAGAAACCAAGTTGGGGACTCTCCTTGTCAGGGCCCACTATATATAGTCTACAGAACAATAGGGATAATTGGAACAATGGGAAGCACAGAACAATAGGCCAGGGAACAATAAGGGGCTAGATTGGCGATAGGCTGGCTACCAGACGTGCCCTGCACCAACTCTATAAGGGTGTATTTTTGCACTTTTACAGAGTTTACTCTTAAACCACTCAGTGTATCATGTCACAGGTGCCAGTGTTGCGCTCAGTGGGACTTAAAGGTTTGCTGCCCAGTCAACGACTGTGGATAGTGTCAACAATGGGAAGGCAGTCAGACCACTACTGTGGAATTGGTCTTATAAGTCTATACCAGAATCAGGGCTAGTAGCGATGGACACTCGTGTTGTGGCAATTTCTCAAAAGGGATATTCTTGTTACGGCAACTCCTTGAAAGGGTCACTCTCTGCAGATGGGAACTCATGTCAGAGGGCTTAGCAATGCATGACGTGCTCAATGTAACAATTACCACTAGAAGGGACTTGGTGTTACAAGATTGTGTCAGGGGAACCCCTGTTTCGGACCGCTCTGCCTTTGATCAGGCATGTGATTGCACTCGCGTGACCTGTCAGCTGTCATGTGCCGCGGCCCGGACTGCCACGCCGAGCGCTTCTCCTTGACGGGCACATGGCCAGGTGCCCCATTGTTCCTATTGTCCCCACCCCCATTGTTCTGTCATGGCCGTTGTACTTATTGTCCCCATTGTTCCTTGTTTGTTGCTGCGCGCTCCATTGATCTTGTATCATATAAATAGTGGCGCCTGGCAAGGAGAATCCCCAACATGGTTTCTCTTTGGATTCTCCCTTGCCAGGTATGCCGGTCTTGTACCTAGCTACCACTATTAATCACCTTTGGATTCTCCCTTGCCAGAACTCTGAGATCGGGTCTCGAGGTTGCCCTTACAGATTGAAGCAATCTTGTCATGGCAACTCTCAGACTTGGGTTGGACATTCCCTCGGATCACGCCATGGCAACAACTTGTCATGGGCCATGTTCTAACTTGATCACAGGATACTGTGGATATGTTGTGGCAACACTTCCGAGTGTCGCAACGAGCCGCGTCCATACCCAAACACACCAAAAGCGACACGGACAAGATCTGTGAACCAAACCATGTGAGCAACACCTGGCATGCCTAGGACCAAACAGCTTCTTGGGGCACCCATATTGGACTCACTTGCCAAGACATACCAGTTGGCCAATCCAATGCTTTGTATTCCAAAAGTATGATGCAGTGGGTTGTGCTATATCAAAAACACCATATGGACAATGGGGTGGGGTCCTGATCAGTCAAGACCTGTCCAATCATTCAACTTTCAATTACCATAAAAAGCAACTGATCTTAGATAGTGTAGCTACTATGCAGCTGTACAGGACTT